GTTATTGTTGTGATGTGATGTTGAGTCAAGCATAATTCATAGGAACTCATCAGATTTAGGGAAGTGGGACACCGAATAGTTAAAATAATTAAGAACATCTTATAAGTGATCTAGGTTTTGAACCTCCCTCTTCTTGATTCTAAATTTGCTTTTTCCAATGCACCAAATAAAAGTCCTACAACCATCACTCTAGAAGTAAATCTTTATTACTCTTTCATGTTTTCACAATTCTTATACATCTGTCTCCTCTATGACACCAGTCCTTCATAGCTTCTTGAACTGAGTACTCGGGGTATATATGTGAAAAACTGAGAGGCTTCTGGATTGCTAGACTTCCCTCAGCTGTCTTTCTGGTCCAGTACAAAGTAATGATCTATGGCCATCCCTGGGATCCTCATGCCCAAGCCTGAACTTGGCTCGGTAATCTTTTTTTCTTCTTCTTCTTTTTTTTTTTTTTGCTCGGTAATCTTTTATGAACATATTCTAAAATACTTATCTTTTGAGTAGTTGAAGGAAGATGATGACACTTTAAAGGAATCCAATGAGAATTAAACAAGGTCAGAGTATGTGTTTCCTGGATCTACAAAGAAATTATTTCCTGAGGTCCCTGGGAATTATGAGGCTGAGGGCCCTGGGCTATAGGCCACATACTTACCAGAGCAGCAAACAAACAAAATCTTTCTACTTAAGAAATCATGGTCAGAGGAAATTCCTCTTTTGAGGAATTTTGAGAATTCCTCATCCAATGTGTACCCATATATTTTCCACAAGTGTGGGATCCCAGCTCCTGAACACATGCAAGATTTATTTCTGAACCCTTCCTTTGTGCCCAAAGGAGTCTGGTGGCCAAGTGGATTAAACATGGGGGGAGGGAGGGAGTAAAGGAAATGGACCCTGGGGGCACTGAAAAGACAGAGTAATGGTTGGCATAGTTCAATGGTGACTAATTTTATAAACCACAATAATCTTCTCTTTCTCTTCACCATCTCCCCTGTTCCCATGAAGTCACAGTCATGAAGGTCGAGCTGCACCATTTCAGCAGGTCCAAGATTTACCCCGGGCCTGGGAGTTGCTACGCCAGGACATATACGAAGGTGTTTCAGGTTCTTTTAATAATTTTTTAATATTACTCTGATTTATTTACAAAGTTTGAATACATTGTTTTTCACAAAGTGTTTCAGTTTCTTAATGCAAAATGCGAGTTGTCATTCTTTCCCAAAAGGAATCCATGGCAGATAAACTGTACTGTCCTCTACAGAAAGCAGCACAAAAAGAGCCAATTGGAAGAAATTCAGGAAAAAAGAACCCACTGTGCAGTCAAATTCCAAAGGGCCATCACTGGTGCATATCTTGCTGATATAATGGCCAAGAGGAATCAAAAGCCTGAAGTTAGAAAGGTTCAACAAGAACAGGCTGTCAGGGCTGCCAAGGAAGCAAAAATGGCTAAACACGCATTGAAAAAGATCACCATGGCTGCTAGTAAGGCTCCCATGAAAGCAGTGCCTGAACAAAAAGAACTGTGAAGCCTAGGAGATTCTGCTCCCTGAGTTGGTGAAAAATGTTAAATTGGCAGATGACACTTAAATAAAGATTCAATTATAACTCTCAACAAAAACAAACACATGAACAAAAAACCCAACACCACAATATATGGGAATGATTGTATGAAACACATGTGAATCAAAAGGCCAGAAGTTTAAATCCATCAGTAGCTGGAGAAAAGTGAGGCAGTCTGCTTTATTTGGAAATCATCCCTAGTCTGTACTGTATGATTGCTGTAAGTCATAACTGATTTGAAAACATGAGTTAGTTTTGGGTTTCACGCTTAGATTCTAAGTCTTAAAGCATACAGAGTTAAGAATGGGAGATGCTTGTTAT